CCAGTCGCGAAGCGTGTTTGCGACTCATTGTAGACTGCTCTTTAGAGATATCCTTAACACACTGTTTACTTAATTAAATTATAAATAACTTAAAAAATAGAACATAAATTTAAAAAAGAATTATACGTTGTATCACAAATATATAACAATCATTGACAAACTGAACTTCTTATTGTATGAATGTACATAGAAAGTATTAAAATAATAATTATTAATAAGAAAACAAAGTTATATAGGAAAGTGCACATAATGTTTTACTATACATATTAAGGAGTTATTTATTATCCAGTTATTATAAATATTTTTATAACGAAAATCTCAAATATGATATCCATTTAAGAGAAATTAGGTGTGATAAAAATTTAAAAATATTTTGTATAAACTACTTTTTCACAATATATTATTTCGTCTGATAATAGAGATCATAGTTTTTCTCACTTATTGGATCTGTTATTTAGGATAAGTTTATATTTAATTAAATATTTTTTTATCTTAAATTTATTTTTTTATTCTTTATTTGTTAGAATCCGAATTAGTAATATTTGCGTTTATCTTATTGTTAGCGGAAAACGCTATTTCAACATTTGTGTGATTTACTTAAGCGGTCTAGTTTAAATTATTATTATTAATTGTTAATATATTTCAGAACGCACACTTAAAGATATCAAGTTCGAATTTTGCTTTAGATGCCAAAAGGCATGAACTATATAAATCAGGAACCAATAATGAACCTGTTATACTGGATGGATCGTTATTTATTCGCGATAAAGTCAGTAAGTATTTATGACTTTAAATTCACACGTACCACAGGAGATCAGGAATTTTTTTATTTTCTGCAATTATTTTTTAAATATTACTAGAGATATTAATATCCAGTTTTATCTATTACAAGAGACCCATAAAGAAATAGAAAAAAGACATAAAGAAACTTTGAGTTGTTATTGTGTAATATCAATATATAACGTTATTAATAAAATAATTTGTATCACATTTATTCATTTGGTGTATTTCAGAATGTCATATTTTTTTTGCAAAAACAATTTTTTTTATAAAGCTAATTTTGTGTGCATGTGTGTTTATAAACTAATAAGCATGATTTATTACAGCTGATGTTCTTATGATGATTCCTGACACATTAGAAACAAGGCAGTTTTTTAATCTTAGTACAGTCAGTAACAATTCAGGTATGTACATTTTTTAATAAATAGACTGTTGATTTCTTTTTATTAACTTCTTTTCTGTTAATACAATCATTCTCTTGTAGAAAGTTGTAATACTGGTATTGTTTCTTCAGTTTCATCTGATGCTGATGAAACTAGTACAGAAGAACTGATTAGATCCAATAATTTAGGTATATATTGAATTAACAGAAACTTGATTTATTTATTGTTTTTCTTTTACTGTCACTGTATAAACGTTTCATTGTAGATAAAGATACGTGTGATACACAGTCTCTTTCTTCATCAGATTCTGCACCTGTTAAGTGGACAGATGCCAATGCTGTGAGATCACTTATTTCCAAATGGAAGAACCACGAAAGTGATTTCAAAAATACTAAAATTAGAAATAGTAAGGTGTGGCAAATGATTGCAGATGATTTGAAAAAAGAAAATCCCTTGTGGAGCTTTAATGGTATTCAATGCGAAAACAAATTCAAAGACGTTAGAAAATTGTATACTAAAGTAAAAGACCACAATAACCAGAGTGGAGCAGAACTAAAAACATATAAATTTTACGAAGAGATGGAGGCTGTTTTGGGTGAAAAACCAATTGTGAAACCTATTTCAATATCATCAACATTAAAGAAGAGGGTATGTTCGCATCCGGAAAGAGCAGTATCACCATTTAGTTCTGACAGTGATGAAAAAGAAAATTCAAATCGGAAAAAAAGTAAAATAGCGAAAGAATTGGACAAATGGAGTGAACAACAAAGAACAGAAGCAAAGGAACGGGAGCAAGCTAGAATGCAGCGACATAAAGAGAAGATGGAAAGACAAGATAAAGCTATAGAAGTTTATAAAGAACAAATGGAAAAATTATTGGAAAAGCTGTAACAAGTTGAAACAGTCTATTCCTTTTTTTCTTTTTTTCTAGTTAACAGATTTCTTTATAATGTAGAATTATACACAAAAGTATTTATCTTTCAAAATGTTTTATTGGAACATAGATTTCCTTATACTGTAGTTTCATGCAATATTTGGCTGTGTTTTCATTACATATCTGTTCATAAAATATGTTGTTTCTTTACTAATTCATATTTTATATATTTAATGTAATGCCCTATCCAGATAAACTTGTATAGATGTATAACGTATAACCATTTACATAAAGGAAATTATCTACTTGCATTTTACGTATGTCTTTAAAATAGATGTGATTGTGGATAATTTTTTTTATACATATGGTTATGTAGCTATGCAAGTTTGTCTAGATGGGCCCTTTATATTTTGGAATAGCGATTAAAACTAATTTTTTTTTGCCAAAGATAGCTTATGCTATATGATATGTAACATTAGATTACACACAGTCTATTCAATGTTTACTTTAGCTTAAAAATATTTAATGCGAATTTTTAGTTTTATAAGCGCGAGTGTTAAAAAGTTATTTTATTTTTCTCATTACATACAACTATGTAATTTCTTATAACATTATTTTATATGTTATTACATTATATTTATTTTGTAAGGTATTCTTTAATATGTTTATCTCTTACTTGACATTCAATGTTCTTAAGATAAATATTTTATACTACAATTCTTAAATTGAAATGCTTCTATTCTTCTAGTCAGAAACCATTTTTTGTGATACGTAAGGTAATATTGTGAAGTCATAGTGCTCCTTAGTTTTTTCATTATTGACAAGAAGATAGAAAGATGATAGAAAGATTAAAAATTATAATTAAAAATCGCCAATTTATTTTACTTTTTTATTTCTTTGTTCGTGCATAATAATGTAATCCTAAAAAGTTTTAATTCAATAAATAACTACAGATAAGAAATAACTAAAAGATGTTTTATTATCCATAAATTATTCCTATTAGCCTTAATTTTACAATGTTATCCTTATTCTTAAATTTTACAATATATCTTACTATTTTTATTATTATATCTATCTATCTTACAATATATTTATAACTTTTACATTACGAAATGGTACATTTTAGATGAGTTTTAGGCTGGTTAGATTAACTTCAACCAATGTAGATTAACTTTAATCTCGGTTTAACTTAGTTCCTATCTCTTTCTATTTCTAAGAATTAGAATAAAATAATTTGTATTACATTCATTCATCTGGTACATATCAGAAAATCACATTTTCTTTGTTAAAATATAACAATTAGCTTTACAAAAAATTTTGTTTTAACAAAGAAAATGCGATTTTCTTAAATACACCAGATAAATGAATGTGATACTAATTATTTTATTCTAATT